TCTAACAGTTTTTTGTAGGAATCTGTAGGGCCAGTGTGTGTATTTAAATATCACTTTTGCAATTTATAAAAGCAACAAATGGTTTTTAAAAGGCTTGAGAGAAATTACATTTTAGGAGAATAATTTGAAAGTTATATAATCATTTATTCCTCTAGAATATAAACTTTTTTGGATTGGATCAAAGAATCAGGAGTGAAGAGTTCCTGTACTATATTACTTAGACCCCTTGAAAAATTGTAGTCAGCTACAATGTTAATGCTATTGGTCTGTACTGAGGATCTCATCTTTAGAAGCCCTGTGGAACATATTTAGTATAAAAAATGGTCAAATATGTTCTTCTTGACATTATAGTGTCTTCTTTATGAGAACTCATAGAAGCTTCTCCCAGATTTCAGTCCAGGAAGATTTGTGCTTCTCTCAAGCAGCTGGTCTCATTTTTATTTTAAACACTGACTCTTTTAACTGATCTGCTTCTTTCTTTGTATTTCCTGCTATAAAGCTTAGAACCATGGAATGGCCTTATTTTCCCAGCCTTGCTTTTTCTCTTTGCCTTGGTTTCTTCATTTCCTTCTTAGGGGTCTTGTTTTGTGTATCCTTTTTGTAAATGACCTCAAATCTGTTTTGGTGTAAGTGAAAGAATGGCTGAGTGCCTGGATGAACAGGTGCATGGGTGAATGGATGGATGGGATAATTAATTCGTGTATTTGTAGAGTTGTGGGGGTTTTTTTGTTTTGTTTTACCTTTAAGTTTTATCTTCTAGAGTCCTATAAAATAAGATCAATTCCATTTCTACGTTTGCCTCTTAAGTACTTAATGATAGTTCTTTTTCTTTGGTTGTCTCTTCTTCAGGTTAAAAATCAGAAATATTTATATAAAAGCCTTCATATCATACTCAGTTCCGCCATACCTGAGGCGAGTTTCATTGTCCATTGGGCCAAAGCATTCACCTTCACTGCTTGATTTGTCCTCCTCTACCTCCTTAACTTTTATTTCCCCAGCAACTTGTATCCGCCTCCGTTCCTACAGCTTTGATGTGTATATTTCCCAGAATATACCTACTCTAAAGGCCACTGCTTCACCCTTGTCCTCACCCACAGCTTCTCTTTCTATGATGTCTCAAGATCTAGTCTCCCAATCTCCTACTCCAGTAGCTTGCCTTTCTAACTCTTCTTCCTTTCTCCCACTAAACTTGCTCATCAACATCAAGATATCCACACACTCAACCATTACCATTTTATTTAGTCTTCCACTCCTAGTCCTTCCTTGCTTGCCCAAACCCAATTTCTGCCCAGAATTTCACCCACAATGTATCACCTCAACTAAAACCAGTCATTAAGACCAGCTGAAAGTGTTTTTAAGTTAATTTTTTCTTTTTCCTAAACGCGTTTCTATTCTTAATTCAAATTATTATGCCCATGATTAACTGGAAAAGTTTCTGAATTCCCACAAGTTTATCTGAATTTCACACCAAGAACTCAGTGTCAACCAATATGTGTATACTGGCACTCAAAATACATTTTTATGTCTCAGGCACAGTATTAAGTGCTTTTTATATGTGACCTTAATATTCATTACAGCCATCTGAGATAGGTACCCTACCCCCTTTACAGATGAGAAAAATAGGGTTAGAGAAGTTAAGCAACTTGCTCGTCATTATATAACTAGTAAAATCTAGCGTTCAGAGATTCACCCTGGCAGCCCAACTCTAAACCAGTATGTTATTCTATATGAAATCTTAACAAGCACATTCTACCACAAGAATATAAACAGAACCTTGATTTAGGAAGCTGTTTTTGTCCTTGCTTCAATATTGGCTGGCATTGGGCATTTAGTTGTAACGTTAGACTCTGTGGTTCTCATTTTTATGCTGAGTACGCAAAAACTATTTTTTAAAAAAATATTGGACAAGATTTACCAGATATTTTAAATAACTTTTTCAGTTTTTAAAGTTAATGACATCAGACCAGGAAAGAGCACATTTGGCGTTTTAAGGAATTGTTTGAATTCAATGGAAAAAAAATCACTGCCTGGGTTGTTTTTGTTGACCATTTCAGATTTTATCCATGAAACAGTTCTGCATTCCCACAAATAATATTTCTTTTGAATAATTAAAGATTCCTGGCCCAGATTCTACAGTATTTTTTAAAATAATAATTCCTTTAAACAGCAAATAACAAATAATAGCTACCTTATTTTGCATGTGAAAAAAACTGATGCTAATATGATGCCATCTAGCTACATTCAGAGCCCTAATATTAAGATATTCTGTGACCGTTAAGTTGCATAGGGAGAAGCTGAGTGGTTAAGAGTACCAGCTCTGGAGTCAGACAGGCTGTATATGCCTCTGGGATCCCCTACTTATCAACCATGTAATTTTGAGCACACTTCTCAGCCTCTCTGGGCTGCACTTTTCTCGCCTATGACTGGGATTAATAATCCTTAGCTCTTCCTGGTGTGAATTTTAAATAAAAATATAAAATTCCCAGCACAGTGCCTGGCATATATAAGCATTCGATGAAGTATAGTTGTTGTTATAATCATCATGATAACGAATGAAAAGTGTCACCCCCTACAGCAACTGCCAAGCTTATACCTAACATTGTGCACATATTTATATTTTTTTCGTTGGAAGAAAGGCTAAAATGTAAATTGCTGCCAAATTTAAATCAGAGCAAGCTAGAAGTAATTATATTTAATGTGTCAAAGTGAATTGCCAGAACTCAGATACAGTATTCTAAATTTCAGGAAGTTATGTATGACATTAATAATAAACAGATTACAGATGTTTATTAAAATAAAATTAAGTGTCCACAAAAAGCTTAAGAGTACTCCAGAGCAGAATCTGGAACCTGTAGAAACTCTAACACTTCTTAAGAGACTGCTGAAAACACCTAAAGAAAAGGCAGAACCTTTGGAAGACTTGGCAGATAGCAGAGAGTTTGCACAAACACCAAAAGAAACAGGAACAAATCGATGGTGATAATTTCTACAGAAGCTTAGAAGCATGCCAAGCACAAAGCAGACCCAGCAAAAACTCTAAGAATCCTCACGAATGCCAAGGACACCTAAAACGAGAACCCATGGACGATCCGGCAGCTATCAGAGAGCTTTTGGTGTAAATGCCAAAAGAACCGTTAGCTTTCCAGTTGTTAGCCTTTTCACCAATGGATGGAAGGAGAATGAAAAAGTAAATGGTAAACTAGTGAGGTCAGATGTAAACTTGCCAAACATTCTGTTACTGATTGGTTGTTGGCAACTTACATTTTTGGAGAGATGGTTAATGCTGGGTTGCTCAAAATAAAACAACTTATGGCCGTTTCTCTCAATCTGGAAATCCAAATTAATTATGATTCATGAAAATTTTACAAAAGTCAGTGCAGAACACTGTATAAATCTGCACAGCATATTCATGTTTATAACATATCAGTTTCAGCTCTGAATTATTTCCTTTATTAATTCCACTTTAGAGAAACTGTATACATAAAGGACACTAAAGTACTTAGCATATAGCCTTTTAAACTGTTGAAGCCATTTCCTTAATATTCCCTTTGGCCTTTACAATTGAGTCTTGTTTTCCTTATATAGCACACCTCATGCCCTTTGGTATAATTGCCAACGCTATTTTTCATGGTTGAAGCACACTCACATTTGCAGAATGCAGCAATTAATGGGCTCTTAAAAGTATCATTCTATCTCAAGAAGACATTTTTCCCTTGGTTATGATGTTGAACGCCAGTAACAAATTGCTTTTAAGCAACTGGTGATTATACAAATATATATATATATATATGATTTCGAAAATCAATTATGTTTTCTCACATTCCAGATGGATTCTTACCATATCCAGGACCATTATTTTCCTATTCATGAGAAGTCAGTGAAGATAAAATGTGCTTGAAATATTTTAGTGTATGAATTACTTTGATAACTGAAAACTAGGAGCAAAAGCTTAGATGGTATTGGAGAACCTGGCACTCTCAGGTGGTTTGGGTAAGATGTGTACATACATAGCAGCCTAGCTAGCAAAAATTATCAGTCACAGCCCATTTATATATATGAGAGAATGACTTTTCTACATAAAAACTATTTTCTACATTCCTATTTTCTACTAGTTTTATATAATAAATAACTTCCAGCTGGAACCTGTAAAACTGAACACCCAGATAGATACTGCCCTTAGAGCTTTAAAAATGTTTCTATCCAGGTATTCCAGCATTGTGAACACATAGTTCTGTGTGTATTAACATGGTATGTTGTATATGTGTGTGTATTCCCATGAGATGTATTCATTTATGACTAATAAAAATAGTTCTTGAGGATTTTTTCCCCTATAAAATTATGCCTGAACAAATTGTGCCTGATAAATCAATGAACTGCATGAAAAAAAACAAAGTAGAGTCAGACTCATTTTTATTGAACTGAGGGATAGGAATAAAAGCTTGTGCGTATAAAGAATAAAACAAATGTAAAACTTGTAATTTTAAAATCAGGAGAACCTCATTGCATGATTGGTGTCACATTATAGACATTCTGAATTTTGGGGAAAGAAGCGTTCCATAGTTGATACAAGGAAAAAACATACTTGATCCATATTATAAGTGTATTTTATAAGATTTTGTTGTAAAGGTCAAGATGTTAGCAGCAACAATATACAGGATATACTTTTTATACTGTTGTATATTTATGTTGACGTTTCAGATATGGGTAAATTTTAAGAAGTATCTAAAACAGTATACTCAAAGGATAAATCATTTCAAAGAATATGGCAATTTTACAGTTTGAATGGTGGGTGGTATTGAGAGTCATATAAATAAAATTTACAGTGTTTGAATAATCTTAATATATTTACTATAATGTGATTTCATTAAATCTTGTACCATTCTTAATTGATATAGTTTCAACTCCTGATGCTTTTGCCTATTTGCAGCTTAAAATTGCTTTTAAGTAACAAAGATACACATTTTATATTTTAATACCGTACCATATAGTCACACATGACATAATTTACACAAAGAAAGATTTTAATGTTTTTCTGCTTCAATACACTTCAAATGATTTTAATGACAGGGTCATTAGCTTTTAAAGGTTTAGAGTAAACTATTCTCTTCTATTACAATTGAGACATTTTAAAATTTCTTAGAACTATCAGTTTTTCAACCAGCTTTTACAAGTTTAAAGTAATCAAATCATCTTCTTCTATTATAATTCAGGTATTTTAAGATTTCTCAGGATTGTCAGACTTTCAATCATAACAAATGTTTCTAGATACACATATGAGGTCCATATGTGTAATCTTCCTTAACGTAATACTCATCCTCGAAGAGAGAAACTTTTTTCCTTCTTTTCCTTTCATGATAATCAAAAACTGTAATAATTATATGGTATACAATGTATATATTGTACATAGACAATATGCATATGTACATTATACATAATGCATTTTCATATTTTATATTAGCACTGGCTTAAAAGACATTCATAGAATGGTAGAACTGATACAATGATACTTATTTTTTTTTACTTAAGATAGGTTGACCGAATCCTTCTGTAGTATATAACTGCACAATTATGGCTTTAAACAAGTTATGAATCACAAGTCCTTATGTTCTGTAATGTATTCCAAATGAAAAATCGAGGGGAAAGTGTATAGCATCATGCTTCATGATATGGCATATATTTATCAAGTCATTTTTACATATAACTGTGGTAAATGACACAAAACCTAGACTACATAATATATAGTTATAAAAAGTTATATATTATGCCACAGTACTAAAAATAAAATATATTCTTCTCGAATAGTGAAAATAAGATATCCTTCATGTTTTTTATGTCACATATGTTTTCTCTTTTGACTATGCCTCTTTTTTCCCCCATTGTAAATGAAATAATGTCCAACATTTTATTAAACAATAATGACAGAGTGTGGGCAATTTCTGGTCATCAAGGCCTAAAAAGGGTGATAAGACAATTATCTTGTCATTCATTGCACATATACCTGATGCATTCAATATATGGTAAAATATAAAAATAAAAGACAAATATAAATATCTTTTCAGTTGTTGAAAAATCAAAAGTCCAACTGTACCTTATTATGAATATGGTCTTGTATATACGTAATTCCTGTATCTTGAGTAGGTACAGCAACTAACTGGATATCACGAGTATACCACCAAACTGTGAACCATCCAACAGCCGTGACTATGCTTGGCCTGGAAGACACGGAAGCGCTTTTCTGGGTTCCCCTCAAGGGAGGGATCTGATCATACCTACGAGCTACTTTCCCAGACGCGCGCAGCAGTCTGCAGGCGCGGCTCGCTTCTCGACCTCCGCCCATACAGGGAGACCTTGACCTGTCCTGGAGAGAGGGAAAGGAGTGGAACTGCGCCCCTAACCCCTCAGCCCTAAAGGAGACTGCCCTTCTCCCGACGCACCAAAGGGCTCACGTGTTCTCTTTGATTCGGGAAGCTGGCACGAGTGAACACAATCTGAGGGCGGGGACCGTCCTTCGAAGTTGCGCTCCGAGCTTGCCCGCTGCTGTCACCCCTGCCCCGCGTGCCTAATGTTTCCTTGAACCGAATGAAACTTAAGAGAGCAGGGAGTGGGGGTGACCCCAACCCAGTCGCCCGGCGATGGGCGATTAAGCCGGGGTGGCAGACGAGGTCCAAGGAAGTCGGTGGCGGCCGCGGCCACCCCAGCCGTTGCGCCCCAGCCGCAGTGCCCATCCCAGGTCTGTCTGCGTGGTCCTCGAGCGGCCCCGGGCGCTCAGATGAGCGGGAAGCGGCCCTCGCCGCCGTCCGACTCCCTGGCGCCGCCGCCTCGAGGGCGGCCGAGCACGGACACGGGCAGCACGACCTCGCCGGGGCTGAGCTGCTGCAGCCGCATGGACTCCTCGTAGGTTGGCAGATACTTGACCTCCTCGTAGCTGGGCAGCTGCAGGAAGACCGGCGAGACTACGCGCAGCTCGTGCTCGGAGGCGCAGGAGGGGGCCGAGAGCCCCCCGCCTCCATGGCCCCGACCGCCGCTGCCACTGTCCAGCAGCGAGTCCTGGGAGCCG